ATGCTGAGGTACACATTATGGCCATTCTACTTTTTAAATTTGACTATTATTAATTCCACATCACTTTGGGGTTGCTTTCATGGATCAGATGTTAGTTTCTGTATTTCTTTATTTTTTTTTAATTTTTTATTTTTAAAGATTTTATTTATTTATTTGACAGAGAGGTAGCGAGAGCAGGAACACAAGCAGGGGGAGTGGGAGAGGGAGAAGCAGGCTTCGCGCCGAGCAGGGAGCCCGATGCGGGGCTCGATCCCAGGACCCTGGGATCACAACCTGAGCTGAAGGCAGACGCTTAACGACTGAGCCACCCAGGCGCCCCATCTGTATTTCTTTATTTTAACCCTGGAAATCAACATCTTCTGATCACCAGAGCTCCTCCAACCCCTTGCGGGTGCTGGTAATGATGCAATTTATCTTACCCAAGATGCAAGAGGTAGCATTAGGCAATATTAGCCATAACATTTTGACTCAATGAATTTCTTTCTTTTCCACAGCTTGATCTTTATAGAATTCAATCCTTCTAAGACCCCATGCTTCTCCCCCTTCCACAAACAAGAGTTAATAATTCCTGCCTTGCCTTCTCAATTTTGCTGTCTTTAGCTGCCAATCAAGATAAACCTACATACATGTTTTTGATAAGAGTTTAGGAAGAACTTGGGCACCTCCCTTCTAATTCTGGCTCCTTCTTAATGGCCACATTTTCCTTCTAATAAATGCTAAATGATATAGATTTCTTGATGATTTAGAACTTTATGTTTTAACATCCTTCTGCTTAAAGAAGCTAAACTGTTTTTCTTCTGAATCTTTCAGACCATTTTGAGCAGAAATGAATATACCGAAACCACCTTTGACTGTGATTTCTCAACTGTCTCAACAAGATGGATGCAAGTAGTATAGAAATGTGGTTAGTTACAGATTTTAATGTAAGCAGCAGAATAAAGCAGATTGAGTGTGAAGCTGTTTTGGCTTGCAAACACTTGTGTTGAAACTTTGAAGCCTTTGGTTGGAATTTTTATAGCATCTGAGAAGCGATAGGGTTTTAAAAAACTGGAATTCTTACACTAGTTATTGGCTCGACAAGAGACTTCGAGTCATAGGGTGGGTTGGCCGCACACATGTCCAATGACTGGAGAAGGTGCTCCGCTATATTAGAGGCGGGTGGCTCTTGGCTAAAGGCCATCAATCCACAACATCCAAGAAGGCAAACTAGTATCAACAAAGCTTCCAGGTTGGTAAAATGTAGCCCTTTGCTGAGTTGCCTCAAATATGGGCTAGTAAAGATTGAAGTGTCTTACTCCACCCTGTACAGAAGAGCTTTAGCCCTTAGCAAATTGAGAAATATAGATATTAACATTTCTCATTATGGCAAATTAAAGGTAGAGCCTCCCGGGTCAAGTCCTGAGAACCCAATGTTACGTAGCACTTTTGTTTTTGTTTTCTTTTTACTAACTTCTTTCTCTAAAGAGCTCAAAAAAATCCACTGATCTTTCTTGAAACTTTGCCTAAGATCCATGAAGGTGCTCAGGAGATAGAATTGCTTACTTAGGAAGCTCAATAAGGAAACAGGCAAAGGAGAAACAGCCCTGTTTAAAATAGGGGTTGGGGCTAAAGTTCTTTCTTCTTCAGTTTCCTTGAGTATTTTTCGTCCGTGTCTCCTAGCCATGGCAATCCTGGGAGGAGTTGCAATGGAACACAATCTGGAAACTGACCAAAAGAGTCACAAAAGATGTGTGTAGTGATGAGGTGTTTGCTGAGATGCTGAGATCCCGCCTCCACCCCTAAAACACTTCTTAACGGCACTGTAATGCCACTTGGCAAGGCTATTACTGCTCTCTCTCTCTCTCTCTCTCCACACACACACACACACACACACTCATGCGCACTGAGTCTCCTAAGCCTCAAGATAATCCAAGGGTACAGGCTTTAAATAAATGGTGATTTCAGAATAGATTGGGTCTTTCTGAGCAGCCACTCCCCCCCCAAAAAAAGAGGTGGGGGTGGGGGAACAGGGATAATTTTCTTCTACCAACCAGGAGCTGCCAGAAATAAGGTTATATGGGAACATGAACACAGCTTCAAAATAAAAGTCTATATACTGGAAGAAGAGAAACTTGACAATGCTGAACACAGGAATAAAGAGGACTACAAGTGGCCAAACTTGAGATGAACCAGAGCAAAGGGGGATAAGTGAATGACCTTTCTTTACCTTCTTCCTGGATGGCTTGCAAGGATTAATTAAGTAAAAGTCTGTAAATTTCTTTGAGCCCTTCAGAGAAAGAAGCTATTTAAATATCAATTATGATTACGCAGCTTGCATCTCAGACCTCAGGCATGCATGGTTAACTGTGCCTGATGCATCAATTGTGCTTTCTCCAGATGGGGATCCCTGACTGACCTGAGTTCTCTGACTCAGTGGTAAGGCAGAGATTTAGGGTGTTATGTGTGGCGTCTGAGCGCAGTCTCCCTCCTTGAACCTCAGCGTTGTGCTTGGAGAAATTGGAGGCATTTTTCTTAAGAGATATATGCAGTGGGGGGTGGGGATTAAGGGCCCAGAGTTGGTTAGTAAACTGAGAAAAAAAACTTTCTTTTTTTTAAATGTATTTTCCTTTATCAACATATTGCCTAAGAGGGTAAAAAAATAAATTAAACAGTGAGACAAGAAAGTATTTTTGACTGGGCACATTAGTTTCCTAGGGCTGCTGTAAGAAAGGATCCACCCCCTGGATGGTGGAAAACAACGGAACTTGATTCCCTTGCAGTTCTGGAGGCCGGAAATTTGAAATCAAGATTTTGGCTGGTCTATGCCCCTCCTGAAGGTTCCAGGGAGGAGCCCTTCCTTGCCTCCTCCTCACTTCCAGTGGCCCAGGGTGTTCCTGGCTCGTGGCAGCCCTACTCCAGTGGCCGCAGCCATCTTCACGTGGCTGTCTTCCTGCTGTGACCGGTGCCTTCTTGGAAGGACCCCAGTGAGATTGGATTTAGGGGGCTGCTCTACTCCACTATGACCTCATTTTAACGGATTACATCTACAGAGACACGATTTCCAAATAAGATCACATTCTGAGGTACTGGGGGCTAGGACATAAGTCGTTGTGGGAAAGGGGACATGATTCAGTCCATAATACAGGTCAGGGTAGTTTCAAAAACATTTAGGAGCTGAACCCTTCCCCTCATAAAAGATCATATGGAAGCCCAGCCGGAGAGCAGGGAGAGCAGCTTCGCCCCGTGGAAGGAAGAGTGGAGCCCAGGGCCTTTCTGTTCACCCCTCCAGAGCTCCTGGCCCCTTCCCACCCTCCCCGTGTGCGCGTGCGTGCTGTAAAGACACTAAGGAGATTCCCACCTCCCCCCCCACGCTCCACCCCCCACCCAGGGCTTCCGGGGGCACAGCATGAAAAGCTATGGAAGTAGTTGTTCCATTGGGTTCCTTTCTCAAGTAATATCCCATTCCTGTAAAGCAGCAGCTTTCGCGACCGCACATTCTAAAAATAGTCTGTTTGCAAAGCCTGTTTGAAAGCAGTTGCATTTCCTTTGTTTATTGATTTTAATATAAAGGAAATAGAATCTGCTCAGAAAGCACACCTCCTCCAGGGTCACCTTAGCGATGTCACCGGCAGCCATTCAATGAGAGTTGGGTGAAAAACTTAATACAGATGTGGGGTGGATTTTCTTTTCCCCTGAAGTTGAACATCCACATAAAATCATGGCCTGCAGTTCACCCTCCAGAACCTAATGGTCACCTTTCATAAAACTTGGGAAAGTAGAAACTCATCCTTGGAATGATTGAAACAGACTGATTCGCAGCTAGTCCCCATCTATGGGGTGGCACCAGGTCCACCAACAGAACCAGTTACTCCCCAATCGCAGCTAGTCCCCAGGGGTGGCACCAGATCCACCAACAGAACCAGTTACTCCCCAACAGAAACCCTGACGGAGGCTCGTGCTGCATCCCGCTCCAGTGAGGGAGCCCCTTGGGAATAGTTGCCCAGGCTCCTGGGAAGAATGCAGACCCACTTATCAGCCTTTGGGAGGCTGCAATCTCCTTGGCAAGGAGAAAGATTGTGTTTTTTGGATGGCTAGATGCTGCTGGAAGAGCAGGCTCTGGGAAAGAATACACAAAACAGCCCAAGGGGAAAGTCCTAATGTTAACTCCATAAAAGGAGGCTTTAAATGGTCTCAGCTGATCCATATTTTTAGAAAATTGTTTTGACTCAGCCTGCCTGACTATAATACTATTGCCAGAACCAGCAATGAAAGGGAGATAAACACGGTGTTGTGATTTTTCTTTTTATGCCTCCCTGGAAGCCCTTGGTAGTACAAATCATGCTTGACAGCCTTTGATTAGCACCGGCTCAGTTCCACTAGGAAAAGGAGACATTTGTCTGAGGTTCTATTCTCCCTTTGTGAATAAGCTAGAAATTTCTATGTGGGGGGATAGTTCCCCTGGAAGAAGCCTCGTCTAAGCCATCTCTCTCACACCACCGGAGCCTGCCCCGAGGGAGACAATGGCTGGCATGGTGGGTCAAGATGGCGTCTTTCGGGCCAGCTGGGGAAGTCTGCGTCTCGCTCATAGGGCAGTGCTGGGTGAGGTGCCCTGTGCCAATCAGATCAGGTGCTTTCTTTTCTGTGTTAATAGTGTAGTATTGCAGAAGAGAGTTTTGGACAGAGGGACAAGAAATATCATTGCATTTCTGATTCCTTCACTAACTGTGACTTTGAGCACATCACTTTATCTTTGTGAGCAGAAGCCTAGATTCATTCTTCCAGCTGAGCTCCACATACACTGTAAGGGGAAAGGGTCGTGCACTGTGCATCTTTGAAGGCACAGGGTAAACCCCAAATTTCTTTTGGAACATGGATATCTTATGCCATTTTGGAGAAAGCATTTTTATACCAAAAAATTAAGTTATCTGTGGAGTAGACTGGAAAATCCCTTGATAATTTATCAAGCAGAAGCAAGGAAGACCTGTTTCAGAGGCGGACCGATTTAAGGTAGGACCCCTGACTCCATACGGTGTGAAGTTCTCACCTCTTCCTTAGGAATGTTTTCATGGAAAAGTTTGAGAAGTACTAGATTAGATCATCTTGATGGTTCCTTTTGGCTCTTACATTTGGGAGCTTAATTCACAACTGTAAGGTCTCTTTGCCCCCTTAGTAAAGGCCAGCTTCCTTGGCGTAGAATTAATGACCTTCTGCAAGAGTCACTGACCCCATCCTAACTGCTTGGTCATCCCTGTTCTCCTCTCCCTGATTCCCATCTTGGTCGATTTTTATCTTCCTCGGACTTGCACCTGCCCATCTCCCCTGTCCTCTTCTCCCTGATTCCCATCTTGGTCGATTTTTATCTTCCTCGGACTTGCACCTGTCCATCTTCCCTGTCCTCTTCTCCCTGATTCCCATCTTGGTCGATTTTTATCTTCCTCAGACTTGCACCTGCCCATCTTCCCTGTCCTCTTCTCCCTGATTCCCATCTTGGTCGATTTTTATCTTCCTCGGACTTGCACTTGCCCATCTTCCCTGTCCTCTTCTCCCCCAGGGATGACTACATCCACTTACTAGAGCCCTTCTCATCCTGCCAGTGAGTTCCAGCCAAAAACTGACTGATTTCAATGGCAATTACTGCTTCTGCTGCTAACATGTAACAAGTACAAGCTTGAAGTGTTTCCATGTTACTTTTCTCCATCTCAGATGCTACAGTGAATGGATCTTATCTTCTTCAGTTTTTTTAATTCCTCCATAGCAAAGAACGCCATGCTTTGCAGAGACCCAAAAGCCTACCAGCTCCATTCATGAAGAGGTTAGTATTATTCTCTGTGTGTGTGTAGAATTCCTCTTCAGGTAACTAAATCAGCAGGCTAAGAATGAGAATTCTGGATTCTATCTTCTGTGAGTTCTATTCTGCAAGATGCAGCATTTACCCATGTGGGGGTTTGTTTCTATGTTCATTTTATTAAACCTCTTGGGATAATCTATTTGAAAAAGATATGAGTGACTTCATTGTGTCTGCTTATGATGGTATTTTAAATACTTAAGAGGTTTTTTTTGTCCATTGTGAAATACTTTGTAATCATGTTTCAATTTGTGTTTTTAAATATTTTTTATTTTCTTTTTTGTTGTTGTTGTTGTTGTTGTTGTTGTTGTTGTTGTTTTTAATGTTTTATTTATTTATTCATGAGAGTCAGAGACAGAGAGGCAGAGGCAGAGAGAGAAGCAGGCTCCCCGCCTAGCAGGGAGCCCGATGCGGGACTCGATCCCAGGACCCTGGGATCATGACCTGAGCTGAAGGCAGACGCTTAACGACTGAGCCACCCAGGCGCCCAGTATTTTTTATTTTCTAAATATCAAAAAGGTACTTAAGACAGAATGTGGTACTTTCAAAATAGTTTTTTTTTTTAAAGATTTTATTTATTTATTTGACAGAGTCAGAGATAGCGAGAGCAGGAACACAAGCAGCGGGAGGGGGAGAGGGAGAAGCAGGCTTCCCCCCGAGGAGGGAGCCCGATGTGGGACTCGATCCCAGGACCCTGGGATCATGACCTGAGCCGAAGGCAGATGCTTAACGACTGAGCCACCCAGGCGCCCCAAAATAGATTTAAAGAAAAAAAAACAGTATTCAGTTGACTGGAAACAAATTTTCAAGTACTTTCTAAACTTGTTTGAAACTGATCAGTAAATCACAGATGGAAAAGTAAAAAGTTTCAGTTATCCTTGACATTTCAAGAGGGAAAGAAAACAGAAAAGGAAAATCATTATAGTTGTCGCGAAAGAAATTGCTTCCAAATTGTTGTCTGTCAGCTATTCCAGATGGCTTTACTGTTTTTTAGTGGAATTGATGGTATTCTAAAAAGACCTGAGGAAAATAAATGAGGTTTTTCTTTCCTGATACCCAAGAAGGTAGATTAGGGGGAAAAAAATCTTTAAAGAAATGTCTTTTTTTTTTTTTTTTAAGATTTTATTTATTTATTTGACAGAGAGAGAAGCAGGGAGAGAGGGAACACAAGCAAGGGGAGCAGCAGAGGGAGAAGCAAGCTTCCCGCAGAGCAGGGAGCCCGATGCGGGGCTCGATCCCAGGACCCTGGGATCATGGCCTGAGCTGAAGGCAGATGCTTAATGACTGAACCACCCAGGCACCACCTAAAGAAATGTCTGTCTTAAGTCCATTGGCCACCTGTACCCCCTCAATGGCACCTATCGATGATTTTATTGTATATTAATACTCTCCAATTTTTTTTAGTGGTGAAAAAGGTGCTTTAACGAGTATATACATAGTGAAAATAACATATATCTAAGCCAGAAAGTTAGTAGAAACCTGTTATAAATGCCTTATAGTCTAGTCCAAAAAAACCACGTGTGTATATATAATCTGTATATGCTATACTCAAATGACAACATAGGCCACATCTGTAATTACATATTGCTTGTGTATATACATACATGTGCGTATATGAAGGCTTGTGTATTTGGTGCATATGTATATAAAATAATCTTTACAGCAGCTCTATGTATGGATTTTATTCCTATCTTACTGCTGAGGACCCAGGATCTCCAAGCCAGAGGGGCACATGGTCATCTTCCAAGGCTGCGCTCTGAATTGCCCTCCAACACTGTAGCAGTGTTTGTGGAATATGTTCTCACTGTCAAAACCAGTTGTAAAGACAGAGATTTTTAAGTCTAGTCTCTGCTCTGGTAGTTTGTCAAGACAAAACATCCGGACAACTCCAGGCTTTCATTTTTTTTGTTGTTGTTAGGAAGGTACCTGGTAATATCTAGAACTTAAAGAGAAAGCACTACTTCACTGCATGGTAGTCATGTCTTCATTACTACATAAGATTTTCCCTTTATGCTCCCTCCATTACATTTTCAAAAGTATTTTAAATGCTCTTCAAATTTGCTTGAGCTTCAAGCCTTCAAGCAGCTCACTGTGGCAGGTTATAAACTGCACAGAGGCCTCGTCCCTCTCAATTTGTAGAAAGTCTTTCACTAACTGTTCATTTCAGCACATGTAGATTTTACTACTTTTTAAAAATATGCCTGGCATCTGACTTTAGTGTTGTTGTGGGGCCCCTGATTGAAGTACTTAAGGACCTTAAAAATAAATACGAACATAAATCATTCTTATCCTGACACTTTTTTTTTTTTAAGGTCAAGTAGAAATAAATGAACAGGGTTTGCAGGCATGAAATCTGTCTGTTTGTGGGCACTTGATGTTTTGGTGAAGGAGAGAGGTTTTACTCTGGGTCATTTATTCTTGGGTCATCTTGCCATGCCCGAGAGGTGCAGGGGGCTTTATCCACACTGGCCATGAGGGAGACACTGAAGATCAAAGGCAGTGATCTGCCTAAGCCACTCCAGCCAGGGCAGAGTCTGGCTCTACCATTCCTCTTGTTTTCATAGAGCCACTGTTGTGGAAATAAATACAATATTTGGAATATTACCTTCCCCTTCTCTTTCTTCATCATTTCATTTTTTTTTTTAAAGATTTTATTTATTTATTTGACAGAGAGAGAGACAGTGAGAGAGGAAAAACAAGCAGGGGGAGCGGGAGAGGGAGAAGCAGGCTTCCCGCGGAGCAAGGAGCCCGATGCGGGGCTCGATCCCAGGACCCTGGGATCATGACCCGAGCCGAAGGCAGACGCTTAACGACTGAGCCACCCAGGCGCCCCTCCTCATCATTTCATAAGAGGAATCTACTTTTATATGCCCTGCACTGTGCCGGGACATTCTAGCTCGTCCTCCGGACAACTCTGTAAAGAGGCACTGGTAGAGCCATCTTATCAGTGGAACTCTTGGGGCTCAAGTGTAAGAGCCTTGCTCAGTCAGGAACTAGTAAGTAGCAGACCCAATATTCGAGGACAGGTAAGACTCCAAAGCCCTCGTCCCTAACAGTTTACTACCTGAATATTTATCTGACTGCGGTAACCACCGTTTGCCGACATGAAACTGACCCCAGTCTGGTGTGGAATTGGCATTGCATTTTCAAAACAGGGATGGACTAGGTTAAGTTTGCAGTGTGCGTTGACTTACAGCCAGGTTGTCTATTTGTCTGTCTGTTTGTTTGTTTGGTGTTGACAAGATATTGTTGGAGCCTAGTCCAGCACTCTCAGGACACTTTCATGTTGAAATGTGACCATTGTTCTTTCCTTTTTTCTTCTGTAGGGGGGATCGGGAGTGATACAGTTTGTACAAAACAGCAGTGATCCTTAAGAGAAAACGTGTCCACTGAAAACTCTGAGCTGAGTGGCTGCGCTGGGCTGGAACTCTATGTTGTTGTCATTCTGGGCTTTGTGAAATGTCTCGTGAAGTTCTTACAGGCATTACTGGGTCAAACAGCAAGCCAGCCCTGTTTTAGGTTGTGAGGTGGTTGTTTGAGAAATGTGAACAGCTTATAGGTCTTCGTTGCTCTCGATTTATACATAAATCCCTTCCGCGCTGCTGGGTCCCCATTTAGAAGCATCAGACCATAAGGATGTCGTGTTGCGTCAGCTGTGGCTTTTGAGTCCGACTTCTGTGTCTGCCTCCTAGCTCTGTGCAAGCTACTGGGCCAAGGGAAGAAAGAGACTAGAGGATGAATAATGAGAGAGGCATCATATGGACTGATGCTTGAAACCTACCCCCCCCCCAAAAAAAGATGAATTGACGGATCAATAGAGGAATGGAAAATGGATAGATAGGTGATAGAGCAGACTTTAAAACGTGTTAATCGTAGAATCTAGATCATGGGTGTATGGGCGTTCAGTATACAATTTTTCCAACTTCTTTGTAAGTCTGATCATTTTCAGAATATCATGTTGGAGGAGAAAAAAAAGAATGTAATTACTCTTAGTGATAGAGATGTGGTTAGTTTCAGAAGAGATATTTGCTGTGACAACATGAGTAAGCAGTATGGCAGAGGCCTCTGCTTTTGGTTAGTGTTTTAGTTTATTTATCTGTTTGATGAGCACCTATAGCTGCTAATGAAGCATCTGAAACTGGAAGCTCCAATAGCATGAAATGTTTGCAATTCTAAGACAGCAGGTCCAGAGGTACGATATCAATATCAATATTGATACATATCTTATGCCAAGCACAGAAGTGGGCACTTTTATTAAGCCATTTATTTCTAATAAAAATGCTAAAGATATGGTACCATTAGGTCTGTTATGTACGTTATGTAGATGAAAATCTGAGCTCAGAGAATTCAAAAGCGTGCTGCTCAAGGTCACACATCTGGTTAGGGGGTGTCAGGATTTGCACCTGACACGATCAACATCAAAGCCAGCTCTATACCCGCTCGACCCTCAGGGCCCACAGTGTGGTCCCATGTCTGTCCCACCATGAGATGCTTGAATCACAGGAGATCCGGCCCCACCCCAGAACTATAGAACCAGAATTGACATTTTGAACAAGCCCTCCAAGCTGTTTTGTGTGCTGGTAAGTCAGCGAAGCACTGTAGTGAGCCACACAACTCTGGAAATGCAGAACTGTGTCTTTAATTCTCTCCTGCTGTAACACTGCAAAACACCTTAGAGTCCGTGAAAATTAGCATTTTTGTTTATTTCAGAGGCATAGCTGCAGCACTGAGCACTGTTGACTCCCTTTTCGTAGTGTCGGAGTAAAGACAGTGAACCAAAGCAGAGAAGTAGGAGTCAGGTACGCTGAGGCTGTGGCCCAGCTCTGCCCCAGGTTATCCACTTGATGAAGCTCAGACCTCCCCACCTGTCTGTGACTCCATTCCTTCATCTACTAAATGGGGATGCCGGAACTGGTTCTACCTACCTCACAGAAAAGCCAAAATTGTCTTTAAAAGTAAAATGCAATGAAAACCAAAGCAAAATGGAACAGACAAAAATATTATTAGCCTCGGTAGTAGCATATGAATTCCTCGCCTAAATGTGAGGATTATCAGGCTATTTCATTTGTTCCTACTGAGGTTTACATGGCAGATAGGACTTTTGGGGCAAGTGATCGTGGCTCACCATTCCAGGAATGTCCTTGCTGGAAACCGTCCCCGCCTTCCAGCTAAGAAGAGGACCTTCTCTGAGAGCAGAGGACTCGAGGACTCCATTTCAGGAGACTGTGTACAAACACATATTGGCTTGAACCAAATCTTCCAGCCTCCCTCCACACGTGGCACAAAGTCTAAAGCCTGACAATAGAGACCATTCGTTGTACCCTTACTGTAAGGCACTGTGCCCCCTGCTTTACGTGCACGATCTCATTTAATCTTTGCCACAACTCCAAGAGGTAGATACTGTCCTCATTTTACAGATCAGGAAAACTGAGCCCAAAAAAAGTGAAGTGGTAGAACCGGAATTTCTTTACTAAGGTTAGAAAGACCGTGGCTTTTAAGCTCATGTAATTTACCAGAAATCTGTCAGATAGAAATGGCAAAATGTCCCCCAAAATTTCATTGTTTGAAACAACTTGCTTTCTACCAATGACTGCCTACGACTCTAGAAAAAGCAAAGATGACAAGTCACTCGTGGCTGAAATTAGTTTGAGAAGTTTTTGCTCTGAGCGAAGAAGCAGGTATTCTGATGTATGTCTTCCGTGTCTTCTGACCCATGAACTGGAAAAGGAGAAGAAATAAGAACCAAGGAGCCATTTTGAAAGCCTTTTAAGAAAATCTAAAGTATGTTCTCTTCTGCAAGATGTTTTCAGCAAAGAAAGAGTCTTACTGTCATTAACAAGAGTTTAGATAGTTCCAAAATGGTCATGTTTCTATTTTATATTTTAGTGCTATGATAGGATATGCTTTCCTAGGCTAGACTTCTGATGATAAAGAATCCATTTTTCATCTTTATGCCTTGATGTGCTCTTTGTGGACAGAGCTCTTTGTGTGCTGGAGCGCACATCCAGGTTCTCCTTCCCTGGCAGCAGGGGAAGGGGGAAACTGTAGGGCTCTCAAGAACCCCTACCTTTGCATACAGGTGACAATAGAGTCAATCCCTAGAGAAAAGATGGCTTGCAATCCTGCTTGATCTTCTGCTCAGTTCTTTCTTTTCCATTTATATGCAGGATTCAGTACATGTGTGGACGTGGGAGATGAGCCAGAGCTGAGACCGTGAACACTTGGGGACTTGGGAGGCATTAGCAGGTAGAGTTTAGAAATATTGGCTTAGAGCTCAGACAGACCTGGATATAAGTCCCTGCATGACCGCTTAGTAGCCTCATGAGCATGAGCCTGCTTCTCTAAGCCTCTCCTCCTTTGCTAAATAAGGGCAATGATATATTTTATATGATCTGTTCTATAAATATTTTATAATTATGCTGAGGCTTTTGTAAATACTAAATAAATCATATTACTGCTATTTAACATTTAACAAATATCATGAACCAGTGAGTTAGACGCAAGTAAACATATGGTAGAGTTTTTGGCTTTCCAGGAGTTGTAATACTTGTGAATAACTATAGCAAGATAGTAAGCCCCAGATAAATGGTATACAGTGCACCCCAGTAGGAGTTCATGGCTCTGTTTGAGGGGTGGTAAAACCTGTAGCTCCTTGTTGGGGTGGCCAGGGCAGGCTGCGTGTTGAGGCTTCTAGACCTTAACAGCTGGTATTTTTTTTTTATTATTATGTTATGTTAGTCACCATACAGTACATCATAAGTTTTTGATGTAGTGTTCCATGATTCATTGTTTGTGTATAATACCCAGTGCTCCATGGAATACCTGCCCTTCTTAAAACCCAACACCAGGCTAACAGGTCCTCCCACCCCCATCCCCTTCTAAAACCCTCAGTTTGTTTCCTGGACTCCATATCTCTCATGGTTCGTCTCCCCCTCTGATTTCCGCCCCCCTTCATTTTTTCCTTCCTTCTCCTAATGTCCTCCATGCTATTCCTTATGTTCCACAAATAAGTGAAACCATATGATAATTGTCTTTCTCTGCTTGACTTATTTCACTTAACATAATCTCCACCAGTCCCATCCATGTTGATGCAAAAGTTGAGTGTTCATCTTTTCTGATGGCTGAGTAATATTTCATTGTATATATGGACCACATCTTCTTTATCCATTCGTCTATTGAAGGGCATCTTGGCTCTTTCCACAGTTTGGCTATTGTGGACATTGCTGCTATGAACATTGGGGTGCATGTGCCCTTCTCTTCACTACATCTGTGTCTTTGGGGTAAATACCCAGGAGTGCAATTGCTGGGTCATAGGGTAGCTCTATTTTTAACTTTTTGAGGCACCTCCACACTGTTTTCCAAAGTGGCTGTACCAGCTTGCATTCCCACCAACAGTGTAAGAGGGTTCCCCTTTCTCCACAACCTCTCCAACATTTGTTGTTTCTTGCCTTGTCAATTTTTGCCATTCTAACTGGTGTAAGGTGGTATCTCAGTGTGGTTTTGATTTGAATTTCCCGGATAGCTAATGATGATGAACATTTTTTCATGTGTCTATTAGCCATTTGTATGTCTTCTTCGGAGAAGAGTCAGCTAATATTTTCATGGTGGAGCCCGAGCATGAAGTAAGGAGTGAGTGTATCTCAAAGGGAAGGGATTCAACCTTCAGAGATAAGAAAATTCAAGACATACCCAAAGAACTGATTAGTCCCCAGTCAGAAATGCCTTTGGGACTGGTCAGGGCCCCTGAGCCACATAATGGGACCATCTTGACTTGGCTCTGTGCCAGCTACCCAGTTCAGCGTGGGCACATCTTTAAATGAGACCCACGAAATACGGAGTTGCCGGCGAGAAGCCCCACTTAGTAAAACATGATGTTGGTGAAATCCAACACAGCTGTAGCTATACTCGGGTAGCCGATGGCGAGTGTGTGACCTTGGAATGGCCTGATGTGCAAGCAAGCATTGGGATCATGATAGGTGGAAAAGAGACCTGGTCTGGAATCCAGGAGCCCTGGGATTGATCTGGGTTCTGGGTCCTTGGACAAGCCTCTTTCATCCTCTATACCTCAGTTTCCAGAAAGCACTTTGAAGGGAGGTGTGGTTTATGAGCCTGCATAAGCCTCCTTCTTATAGGATACTTAAGTGCAGTTGAGCCTTGAACAACACAGGTTTGAACTGCATGGGTCCACTTATATACGGACTTTTTTCAATAAATACAGTGCAGCACTGTACATGTATTTTCTCTTCCTTATAATTTTCTTAGTAACATTTTTTTCTCTAGCTAGACTGTAAGAATACAGTCTATAATACATATAACATACAAGATATGCGTTAATTGACTTTATGTTATCTGTAAGGCTTTTGGTAAACAGTAGGCTATTAGTAGTTAAGTTTTGGGGAAATCAAAAGTTATACACAGATTTTCGACTGCACAGGGGGTCAGTGCCCCTGGCCCCTGTGTTGTTCAGGGGTCAACTGTAGCTTCCCTGTAATGGTGCTTTCAAGGTCCAAAGAGTTGTAATACTGGCCCTTGCTCTTATTTCCTCCCCACCAGTGGATTTGTTTTGTAAAGGGACAGTTATGTAGGGGGTGAGAATGGACGAGAATTGTGTACATAAATTAGCATATGGAGACTTGGAGATGGAAATGTGCCAACATCATCCAAAGAGAAATCCAGATAACAGGCTCCAAGACCGAGCAGCTTGATGAGAAGAGTAAAGAAAACAATTTCCCTCTGTGCTTGCTACAGAAAGGAAGATAAAGGAACTGGAGGATGGATAAAAGTATCCAAAAAACATAAAGGATGAAATGATGGGAAACACTGGTGTGACCACTGAAGGGGCAATAAGTGGAAAAAGTCACAGTATAAAAAAAAAAAAATAAACTGTGGAAAAAGAATGGAGCGATAGTCATGGAAAAAAGTGAGATCAAATAAAAACTTTCAAGAGTGCCTGGAAAAAATAAGGCTTTCTGAGTCTAACATGAGGACTCTATTCTTACCACCTGTGGAGAGTAATTGGCATTGGCTGTCTAGAGGTTTGTTTTGCCTTCTTGGCAGGAGCCGAATTGTTATGTTAATATTGCTCTGGCTAAGTGTTAAGTACCAACTTTGAATAGAAAGAGTTTTGCAGAAGGGAAAATTCCCAGCATCTGGTTCTTACTTTGACCACTGAGCTCTTTACAAACTTCAGACTTCACACTTGAATTCTAAGAAATAATTAGTATCATGGCAGATATTTCCAGCATTGTGTGAAAGTGAATAGAGTTTCCACTAGGAACTCTCCCAAAGGTGGTTTATGGGCAGGCAGAGTTTTAGGTAAGATTTAGGTACAAGAATCCATTTGGGGAAAAAGGTAGATGTCTTTTATAACATAACATCACAGCACAGCTCCTGATTGCTTGCATCGCATTTATGTGTGCTGTCTCTTCTCCATTAACACTGGCTTCTCCTTAGATGTCATTCCACCAACCTGGCTCTTTAACTACTGTAATTGTCATAAACAGGGTGAGACCAAAACCCTAGGGCATTCAGGTTAGAATGGCGTCATAGTCAAAAAAATGGAATTTTTTTCATTTAGGAATTATTGAGTCATTTCTTGGATTATTATTTCCATTCTTTATGGGAAGCAACATCTCTCTAAATTTCTAAGACCTCCTACAAACTGACCTTCATGATCTCTTGCCCCTGGATAGCTGATTTCAGCTAGGTGCCAGGTAAAAACTAAAGATTGAGCTAATATATGCTAATTTGTGATTTACTCATGACCCCTTAGGATTGTAAAAATAGATTGCTTCTTAGTTACAAATGAGCCTGTAGCTGCAAATGATCTCAGACCTCCTCCATCCCCCCCACCCCCGTTACTACCTTCCTCAGGTTGTTGCCTTGCTTCACACTGTCTTTCCTCATTTCCACTCCTATAGGCTCAGATTTTCCCAAAATGTGATAATGTGACTATTTTTTCATGACATCTTTTTATGGCAATGACAAAAGGATGTGGTTAAAATACCACATAATTAAGCTCTTGAAGTTTATAAACACCACCAGATTTATAAACCTGATAAAGAAAATCCATGTAGATGATATAAAAGTTTGTGAGCCAGAGATTCTCACTGAGCCGTTTGCTCTCCAGGAGTGAATTAGGCAACAAGAGCCATTAAAACTTATTAGGTCACTAAGATATCATTTGGGCAACCACCTCAAGTTCCAGAATATTCTCTGAGCCCCATTTCAGCAGGCAGTATAACAACTAAGAGGTGTCTAGTTCAGGGATTTTCAAACTACACTTTCATGAAACATTGATTTCTACAACATGGTCTAAGGTTTAACATGTCTAAAACTGAAAAATGACAGATTTCTCATTCCTTCTCTTCTCTTACTTCATAGTAAGACCCTGAACTCACTTCCTCCCACAGATACACCAAACCTATACTAACATATAGAGCAGTTCCTCCTCAAGAAGAACTGAAGTTTGATTGAACAGCTTCTCCACAACAAATGATGGAGAGACTACATATAGAAGAGTAGGAGAGACAGAGACACTGCAATGACAGAAACCCCACCTCCAACTCAGTGACCTGCAGAGTCACTGAGGGATAATAACACTGAGGGGCCCATGAGCAGACTCTCCCACCTTGGGGCACAGCAAAAAAATAGTGGTTTAAAGAGCAACCAGACTATAAGTGGAAGAAATCCATTTGCTAACCTTACAGCATCCACCAAACAGGTCAGGAACTGCTGGAACTGTCTCCAGGGTTGGAGGACCAGTGAGACCATTTTTCATATCCCCTCTTCAGCTCGATATTGTGGGCAGAAGCAGGGTCCAGGCACTCTAGCTGGCCTGCTGGCCTATCATGCCCTGGGCCCCTGGCTCACATCAGCCCCCGCCATTCCCCCAAGCTGGCCCTGGTGTGGCATGCCATAGGCCCCCACTCCCATACCCACCTGAGCTTCAGCCATCTTATCAAAGTGGCCCTGGTGCTCTTGCCAGTTCTAGCCCTCCTGTCACCGGGACCCTACTGTCTCACCCTGGGACCCCTTCTCCACCTGTCTGTGTCTGTTCCTTCTCCAGCCAGCTTGCCAAAGCCACCAGGCACATGCAGTCCAACAAAGGGGTTGTTTCTATACAAGGCCACTCCTTCTTCAAGATCAGAGAAGTAGCCATTCTCCCTGATTCATAGAAACAAACACGGAAGGTCAAACAAAATGAGACAAAGGAGTATGTTCCAAACCGAAGAACAAGATAAAAA